GTATGAATTCCGCACCATAGGTGCATTTACACCCACGATGTTTGCAGTCACTGGTGAGGTACGAAAAAAGGTATACATGAAATTGTGACAGTATTACGCATGAGTCGACTAGAAGAATAGAAACGTGCAAGCATGTCAGCCATCAATCTGGCTGTGGCAGCTTGGAAAAATCGAATGTCAGTACATCTAATAGCAAATCGGCACATTTGACAGTGTAACGTCGACATTTTACACCTAGTAGATAACACTGTTTCCCAATGTGGGAATGCCCGATATTGCTTCAGTGTAGCCATATGTTGGTGCTTACTATGCCGTCTATGAGCGATTCAAAGAAAGACAGGTCATTCAAGGCTTCAGCATATTCTGTTCTAAAACCAGCTTGTAAGTTTAGCACAGCTGCAGCGTTGTCATCCTGAAAACATCCGGCATCTGTAGTAATCAAACATTTGGAACCATCCTTGGCAACAATCGTGTACTTACTCCATTGGGGGTCTTTGCAAATACATCTATATTTACCATGATTTACATCTCTCGCTACGTTGGTGGTATTGAACATCATACTATCTAGGGTGTCACCATACTTAAAACAAGGGATAATACGTTGTACAGCGTCACGGAATGCACGGTGTTGAGGGGAAATGTACGCTAGAATATTTACCCGCATGAACATCCCACGGAGCCCCAAGGAGTGTGCAAGAGAACTAGTAAAACCAATCACTACCCGTTGAGGTACCTTACGTTGCGTAACCAGCGGAGGGGGGAAAAGTCGCGAGGTATGCTTTGCGTAGTGCCTGGAACGCTAAATGCACATCCATCCTCTGTGATACCCACCTGCCCTACATACCTAATCATGCGCAGCATGTTTTTTGGTGCTAGCGCTTTGATGTAGGCATCGCTTTATAAGGCTTGTACTGAATCAGCTTGGCAAGGTACTGCATTCGTCGTTGTTTCCAGTCACGGGACCGGAACATCCTCTTCTGGCAACCCCCATTCGTTGTAGTCTTGCGTGCTTCGTGCCAAGACCGTTTGATCGGTCGCGTACCAAAACCATGCGAAGGCAAACCTGGGCTAGGGGGGCATGCAATCTCTCTCTTGGTATTGTAACCATTTCTGACAGTGTCCATGCATGCAATCCAGGAATTCTCCCTCTGCCGCCAGTGTAATAGTGTGCCAGACCTATGGCCTTCCGGCAAGTAACGGGGGAGTGTCTCGAGCTCGAAAACCGCAAACTTAGTCCAATCTATAGGTCTAGTGTCCTGCCCAACCGATCTCCGGTACCTAAATGCCCCGTAAATCTTGCATACGGATTATCTACCGTGCGTCCAACATATTTCAGACCATTCGACAAGTTCACAATAGCATATATGGTGATTATGTTCTTGCGGAGGAGTGGTCTCCCACTGTTGTTGCTATCTTCCCCGGATGAGATCCATATGGGGTATGGCCTGCCACTCCGTTGGGGTTCGTATGCACCAACAGGGATGTTCCCTTTTGTCTTTTGCAGTGGCTAGCCAGGTGTCTCGTCTTCTCCATAGCGAGTAGCATTGTGGGTGGTTGCTTTCCGACGCCTGTTTCGATCGCTCGTAAATCAAGCGCATTTTCCCGACCTTGGTGTTCGGGTCCCATATGTGATTTGGTCGAGGTCGGTTTCTACCTCTACCTCGATGTTTCCCCATGGCATTGGTTTCAGTATCTATCGTCGATAAAAAATCTTGGTACACTTTGACTTCACCGAAGTCCAGGCGGTGGTCCACATGTGTGTTTGTCCGTGGTGTGTTTAGCAAAGGTAATGCGAGGGAAGGGAGGAGGGAGGGGGGGGGGG